AACAAATTAATTCAAGACCATATTGCAAAAATGAGTACACCCAATGAAAGTCTTAGGAGCAAAGATACATTTTAGACAGAATCCAACTACAGGTGAGTCTAATTAAAGAGGCGTTCAGCAGACAGTTGTTTTATAAAAGGGCGTTGCTTAACAAAGAAAACTCATTTCATACTGTCAGCAATGGCACCACATGGATGTGAAATGTCACAAGGCCTGAGAGAAAATATTTTCTTTACACAAGAAAGGTGATGGCTACAAGATCAGCAAAGCTTTACTTATCAGTCAGAATACTGTAGCAAAAATGTAACAAAGATGGAACTGCAACCATCTCACAGAGACGTCCAGGCCATCCATGGAAGTAACACCTTCACAGGAGCATCTTCTGATGAGAAGGGTTGAAGAAAATCACCTTGCAAGTTCACTGCAGTTACCTAAAGAAGTAAAAAGCCAAACTGGGGTGATGTTTCCCCTGACACAATATGGCGTACACTGCAGAGGAATTGCATGCATGAGTGTCATCCATGAAGAAAGCCTCTCCTAAAGCCCATGCACAAAAAAGCCCACCACGAATTTGCCTGGGGCCATGCTGAAAAAGACTACTGCGACTCTGGAGTGATGAGACCAAAATAAATGTTTTTGGAACTGATGGCTTCAAACCTGTATGGCGTTGCAAAGGTGAGTACAAAGAAAAATGCATGGTGCCTACAGTGAAACATGGTCGTGGCAGTGCCCTTCTGTGGAGCTGCATGAGTGCTGCTGGTGTTGGGGAGCTGCATTTCATTGATGGTATCATGAATTCAGATGTACTGCTGTATATTGAAAGAGAAGATGCTACCATCACTCCGTGCCCTTGGTCGTCATTGACTTTTCCAACATGACAACGATCCAAAACACACATCTAAGGCCACTGTTGCATTTCTGAAGGACAGGGTGAAAATGGTTCAGTGGCCAAGAATGTCTCCTGATCTGAACCCAATCAAACACCTATGGGGAATTCTGAAAGAGAAAAGATGAGTATCACTCTCCATCCAGCATCCAGGCTCTAAAAGAGGTCGTTCTTGAATGGAAAAAAGATAGATGTTGCAATATTTCGCCAACTTGTTCATTCCATGCCTAGAAGTCTTGGTGCTGTCCTTTAAATTCATAGAGGTCATACAAAAAACTAGATGTAGTAGTTTTCGTTGTGGGTTGTATTCATTTTTGCATCAACTAATTTGAATAAAACTGAAGATTTTGTAATCCGTTATATTATTAACCTTTCATGTAATGAGCTACACAAATGTTCTATAAAACTCAGTTTTGTCAAAACTTTGGAAATTGTTCTTGTTCATTGAGATATTGATTAAAATCTAAAAAAAAAGCCTTTACTATCACTTTAAGCGAATAAGCTGGAAGCTGATTGGATGTGGGGAGAATTTACTTAAACTGGAGCATCTATGTATAATATCCAATCAGCTTCCAACTAAGGCTACATTCACACTAGCGTTGTGTGCAGGTGGCAGAGAGGCGTTTGGGAAGCATTTTTACTGCTTCCCAAACGCCTCGGACAATTCTGCACATGGCAGCACATGGTGCTGTTCTAACGGGAGCATTAGCGTCGCGGCAAAACTGACGCCTCTGGTCGTGTCAGGAGGCGTTGAAGCCTCCTATTCTAGTCTATGGTGCCGCTCCGCAAACACCCGGCCGGCGTTTGCGGTGCTGTTGCGACGCGGTTGCAGGGCGTTTGCAGAGCGGTAACACCATTCAAACTTCATTATAGGCGTTTGTGGGGCATTTTTAACGCTTGGCAAACGCCGCTAAACCGTGCATGCGGCGTTTGCGGAGCGTTAAAAAACGCTCCGCAAACGCCAGACCAACGCTTGCCAAAAGCTCTAGGGGCGTTTGGCAAGCGTTGGTAAAACAATCAAGTGTGAACGAGCCCTTAAGCTTGTTCAGTTAAGCTTTGAAAATTAAAGCTACTAGCTGGTTGCAGTGTGCATGTGTGCAGTTATAAAAAAAAAATTACTAGAAGGTAAGAGTTTTTGGTAGAAGAGACAATTCTCTATCAGAAAACCCTACCTGTTAGCATTCTTTTTAAATTTAGTTTTGCTTTTAAGGGAATGCAGAAGTAGAGAACCTTAGCCTTTCCTGTGAGGCTAGAAAAAAGAAAATGTGTACAGTGGGAATTGTATCTCTACAGCTGACTTAAAGCCTAAGGCCCCTTTCACACGTGGTGGACTCTGATTAGATCAGCAGGGTATCTGTCCAGACACAAACCTTTTTACCCCTGCCGATTGATAAGCAAGAATAGATGGTCCAATCAGGTTCACATGAAAAACTGACAAGTAGACTTATGTGAAAGGGGCCTAGCTGTAAATCTAGCCATAGATGGATCAAAATTTGGCTGGTTCAGCAGGTACTGGCGAAATTGCGATCAATCTATGGCCATTCCCATTCAAGAGCAGTCAATCTAAGGACCAGCTGTTGTAGAACAAGGTTGTTGAAATATGTTTGCTTCTATCAGTGCTGCAGTGCTGATCAGTACATTTTGATAGGGGAGTACCCGCTGTCAGAATACAATATTACAGCGGGGAGGATTCTTTTATTCACCTTGAATATGACTGATTGATTAAAAAAATGTATGGGCAGCTTTACAAAATAAAAATCAGTGTTTACGATGGAGGGCATAATGGCCTTATATTCTGTGTCACCATTGGTGCCCTTCATAGTCTGTTCATGCAGACACAGGTAACTTCGTTATATCCGCTCCACTGTCTGCATTTCCAATCGGTGAAGAAAGAATTGCTTGTCATGTGACCAGCCAGAAAACAGATTAAAAATGAAAATCTTACAATGTGGGGTTGTAGAAGTAGGCCACCCGTGGGCCACAGAGTTGGGCTTTAAGAAGAGAAAAAAAATGCATAGAAATTCCACTTTATATTGTTTACCAGGGCTTGTTCAAGGTGGCTGTTACTTGCGATTTGCCACAAAAAGCATACCAAAGGCAAATGTGGCTACGAAATGCTCATGCTCAGCCTTTACCTGTATTATTCAGTATGCACACAGCTTATAGACATTTTAAATGCCTCTTTTAAAAATGTTCCCCAAATATATAGGCAATGCAGTGTGTTCTTGTGAGATTCAACATATAGTTGGGTTCAGAATTTGGTATACACAGCCTACATGCATGCTTACAGCAGGCACTGATGGTTCAGCTTTGTAGTGGTCGTGCAGTGGTTTGGGGAACATTTTCTTGGCACAGATTAGACCACTTAATCAAAGTTTAGGTGTGTGTGTTTTTTTTTTTCCAGCTTAGACCAATGTATCCATGTGGAACCTGGAAATCACTGCTACTACACTGATCGCTGCTAGCTTCCAGAGCCTGCCCTGCTGCCTATGAGCACAGAAGGTCGCTTGCTTGCAGATCACTTTGCATTTTCTCATTGACAATGCGGGTAACTGATGTTACTGCTCCATTTCTCCACTTCCAATTGAGAACAATATGTGTTTTTAAAAAATGCAAGTTGTTCTCTGAATGGCACTTGCCGAGCAATTGTCTTCCTAAGTCACCTAATCTTTCCCCCTCTTCCACATTTCCATGTTCACTATACAGCAAGTCAGCTGATCAAACGGGATCTGGAAGCTAGCAGCAATAATTGTAATAGTGGTGCTTACTACAGTGTATTCCAGCTTCCACAGGGATCAAGCAGATATGCGCATGCATACATACATTGGTCCAAGCTGTGCCCACCTGTGTTTTCCAGCGACTATTTGAGCAGGTTTATGTAACATGTCATTGCACACATACCAAGCTTGTTTACGGGCCTCAGTGACTTTGTAATACCCCCGTGGTCCCCATATTTGGGGTAAGGTGGAATGGTATATCAACAACTGTAGACCAGTGAAGGTGGTCACTATGAAAATATGTTCAGAGTTGCCATGAAAGAATAGTAGAGGTTTTGCAGTAGTTGCATTCTTCTACACTTAAAGGATATGTTCACCTTTCATAACATGTTGCACCCGTATTCAGGGTTACGTTATGAAATGAGAGGCCCCTGCATGTCTTGGCCTGTATATGTTCTTGGTTTCATGATGCAAGTTGTCATTCTAGAAGAACCTTAATGTATTATTTAATGGTTTTTAAAGCTTTTTAAATAGTTTGGTAACAAGCTAAATGCATCCAAGATTTTTTGACACATGCAAATCTGTTAGAAAAGCTAACTGATTATTATTTCTAAACCTATAGAAGGCTTATGCTACTACATGTTTATAAAAGTGGGTCAAGCTAGTTTTATTTTTGAGGTCCTTCAAAGAGAAGTTTTATGTTGCTGTTGAGTTTTAAATTTAAAATTGTTATTTTTACTTTATTTTTTTTTATAATTAAACTACCAGTTTGCACGTTGCTATATTTTTTATTTTTTTTTTCTCCTCTCGTGTTTTTTATATGTTCAGTTTGTTTTATTTTTGCTTTAATGGGGGTTTCTTTATTCAGGAAGTGGTAAAATATAATAAACGCTTTGATTTCACTGCTTAGCTCTTCCTGTACTATGAATCCTATTCCAGCCTGCTGTTTAATGGAGTGGTGAACATCACTCAGCTGTTTAGGTTCTAATGCTGCTATGTTACTTGTCCTTGTTTGTTATGGCTCCGCTTTCTGTAGTGTCCCCACAAACTTAACAATAATTCCCTAATCTGTTTTGTAAAATGATGCTTGGCAATCAAACTTTTAGTCTGATAGGTGGCTGTGGGGAAATGGAGTAAATCGTATTGACACATGAAGCCCAGCTTACTATACTTGGCATATTCTTAGTATAGTTATTGCCATTCTCAATATTTCACTGTCATAACTTTAGTCTTTTTTTCCTTTTACTCAAATAAGACTTTAATGTTCATATACTGTGTATGGTTCATGTGCAGTAATCTAACCCAAAGACTTTTTTTTTTTTTTTTTTTTTCTTACCCAGAGCTTCCCATCGGATGAAGGCTGGCCTTTCGCTAAATACCTGGGAGCATGTGGAAGAATGGTGGCTGTGAATTATGTAGGCGAAGAACTTTGGAGTTTCTACAATGCTCCGTGGGAAAAGCGTGTGGACCTTGCATGGCAGCTAATGGAAATTGCTGAGCAGCTCACAAATAATGACTTTGAATTTGCACTTTACCTCTTAGATGTCAGCTTTGACAACTTTGCAGTTGGACCTCGAGATGGAAAAGTAATCATCGTTGATGCTGAGAATGTCTTGGTAGCTGATAAAAAATTAATAAAGCAAAGTAAGTGTACCTCTAAAATGGCGTCTAATCTTTTAGGCATTTTAGCTGCTTAACTGAATGACACACAGGTTGCTTTACTAAAACTGGGCAGTGGTTGCTATGCAGAGCTGGACCAGATTTTGCAGTCAGCTCTCAGTTTTGTTTTTTTATTTATTTATTTTAAGAAGCTGATTGGCTACCATGCACAGCTTCTACTTATTTTTACACTTTCTGGTAAAATCAACCCCATATTGTCCATTCATGCAAGTATTTACAGGAGAAAGAAAGCTTTGAAGATTTGGATTTTATTGCATAGGTATGGATGAAATATGGGTGTACATGGATTGCATCTGATTTTTCACTTTTACCCAGTTCTTTCTGTGTTAGAAGAGGCCTTTTTTTATTTTTTCTTTTTTTATTTTGCTGCATTTCTTCTGTTATACAATTAAGGGAGTGCAGGTTAGCAAAAAGTGGTAGTGATAGGATTTCATTTCTAAGGATGACTAACAAAACCAAATATATCCTACATTTTGTATGCATTCAAGTGGATGGCAAAGAACCGCTACCTATTTTGAATGACATACTGACTGCATTACAAAGAATGTAATCCTATTTAAACATTTTTGTATAAAAATGTTATTTATTAAACATTTTCATTTGCATTATTTTAATTTTTCTCCTGTTCTAACATTCAACACTGAAGGTGCACATAACATGTTTTTGATCCACATATTCATGGACTTTAATCCTTGTTCTGGAGCATCAGCAGTGAATAATGTCACTGAATAGTTATTCTAAGGAAAAGACATGTAGCACTGAAATATTGGCGTGTAAAAATACACAGGCAAATTGGCTCAAAATCAAGCGGGGTTAGTTACATTTTCAGGAAAGCTGGCCAGTTGTCTGCTTGCTTCTAGATTATGCCCATATTTGTCATGACCTGTGAGTTCACCAGCTGCTCCTCTACGAGGCAAACATGATTGATTGGTGAAGTTTTACAGATTAATCTTTTGCTTTTTGCCCCATATGTTGAGAATGATAAACTGATTTTTTTATGTAGCCATGTTTTGTGGAGCTGCATCCATTTTACAAGTAGCTTTCATACATAAGCAGACTTTCATGCCTTAAATCTATTTATGCATGATACCCATGATAATGTTGCATGTGGTTTGTGATATTTTATTACAAATTGATCAACTGTGGGTATAGCACAACTTTTTTTTTTTTTTTTTTTTTTTTTTTTTTTTTTTTTTTTATGGTTGAACTGGATGGACTTTTGTCTTTTTTCAGCCAGACTAACTATGTAAATTGGCCCATCCAGTATTACCTATACACACCCACAATGAGATGCATAGGCAGAGATGGTCATGTAGTATGCTAATTGGTTAACAAGTGCCCAGAGCATGGACAGAGGCCTTCCATATCTAAGTCAGCGGATATTACTCTATCACCAGTCATATATGTCAGATTGTATCGTGTGCTGCTTTAAATATAAATTTCTTGACTGCATGTGATATACACCGATCAGCCATAACTTTGACAACCCACGTAATATTGAGTAGGTCCCCCTTTTGCTGCCAAAACAGCCTGATCCTTTGAGCATGGATGCCACTAGACCTCTGAAGTTATGCCGTCACTAGCAGATTCTTTAAATCTTATAAGCTGCGTGGTATGGTCTCAGTGGATCAGACTTGTCTTCCAGCACATCCCACAAATGTTCAGATTGGGATCTGGAGAGTTAGGAAGCCATGTCAACACATCAAACTTAAGTTTCTCAAGCCAGTCTTGAACCATTTTTGCAGTGTGGCAAGGCGCATTACCCTGCTGAAAGAGGCCACTGCAGTCTGAATAGCATTTCCATGATGTACTTGGACAGCAACAATGTTTAGATAGATGGTATGGGTCAAGTAATATCCAAGTGAATGGCAGGACTTGAGGTTTTTTTTTAGAAGAACATTGCCCAAAGCATCGTAATGCCTCTGCTGGCTTGCCTTCTTCCCATAGTGCATCCTGGTGCCATCTCTACCCCAGTTAGGCAACGCATATGCACTCCGCCATCCGTTTGATGGAAAACATGACTGATCAGAGCAGGCCACATTCTTCCATTGCTCCATGGTCCTGTTCTGAAGCTCACGTGCCCATTGTAGTCACTTTCGGCTGTGGACACAGGTCAGCATTGGCTTCCTAACCAGTCTACAGCTTCAAAGACCAATAAATAAACTGCTTCAACGCATCAACTTCAATGGCAACATGTTTACTTGCTGCCTAATATGTCCCACTGACCTTCAGATGTCTTTGCAAAGAATAATCAATGTTATTCACGTAACCTGTCAGTGGTCATATAGCTAGTCGGTGTATGTTTGAAAAAAATGTTTTTAATTCTTTAACTTTCTAGCCTCTTAACCATGGTGGGTCTAAAATGAAATAATTTACTGATTTGTTTAAATATCATACTGAAAAGACTGAAGTTGTCTATGCAGTTTAAATTCTGATTGTAAACCCCTTTTTAAATTTACTAGCAATAGCTTTATGTGCACTGAATTGTTTGCCCTCACAACACAGTAACACGAAAGTTTAAGACCTCTATACGATTAGACTGTAATATATGACTCTATGTAAAGTTTGCAGTATTGATTGAAGCAGTTGGTCTGTGGATGATATTAAGAAATCCATGAAGGGTTTAGTTACACATTAGGCCTCCTGCACATGGGAGTAAAAAAGCCATGTTTTTTACTCATTTGAAATTAGTTGTGTGCGTTGTTCCATAGCCAACAATGCTTCTGAGTAAAGATACAGTGAAAAGTAGAGGTGTAAAACAAAAGTAGAAAATTTTACACTTTGAGTGCAGTAATTTATGCACATACGCATATTTGGGCATCTATAAGCATGTTTATGCAAGCATAAATGAGTATATTACAACACTCACAGTGAAGAATTTTACTTGTCTATACACTTGCACGCCTTCACGCCCCTATACGTGTATTTACACAAAGTCTTTATGGAACATTACTCAGGATCTTTCTGTCAACAAGATCCTGAGTAGAAAAATCGGTAAATTACTATGCCTGTGTGCAACTGGCCTTTAAAATGCAACTAAATTCAAGTAATAAAAATAAATAACTTCTAATGCCCTTAGAAAATATTGATTTTGAATTTCTTGTGTAGGGTGGCTATGGAAGGCTACTGTAGTCACCCTTCTTGACAAATGTTTGCATTGCTGAATGGCAGTACAAGGTACCATGGAAGATTGCGACTCCATGCACTTTTTTTAAGCTCAGAAGACGATGGTAATAGCATGTTTTTAGTAGCATTTTAGAAACATTCAGAGTTTTTTTATTTTTTTATTTTTCTGCTCCTAAACGCTGAAGCTTGAAAAATACCACTAGCCTAAAATAGTGTACATGGACACATAGGAAAACACTATTTAGCTTCTAGGAGCAGACAAAAGCTTATAGCCGCTCCTGGGAGCTTAAGAGCTGACTCACGTGTGCCGTACGGATGGAAGCTCAGCTTTCACAGCTAATTGACACAGTAGTTAACCGGTTCATGTCAGGTTTACTTCAGGTTCAGGACAGGATTAGCTCTCAGGATTATCCTGTTTGCACATATGCGGTTTAGAAACGGTCCCCATAGAAGTTAATAGCCTGTAATCCGCACCTGAACCGAACTACACTGCTCAGAAATCATACACAGCTCTTTTTCAAACAGCACTGAATCTGCACTGCCAGTGCATGGGACCTATGTGCATCCAAACGACATATATGTGAACCAGCACTTTAGAGAAAAAAAAAAAAAAAAACTAGTGTGCAAGGAGCTCAGTCTGAGGCTGTCTGCCTGTTACTGGAAGTTTTGTGAGCATTGCTTGCAAGGTCTGCAAGGCAGAGCAAAATAACACCAGGAGAAAAAAAAAACCTTTGAAAGCTAGTTCAGTACAAAGATACCTAGGAGACTTGCCCATGTGGTGTTGGGCAAAAAAGTTTAGTTCTACAGGTGTACCTCGGTTTAGGAATTTAATGCGTTTTCCGGGACATTTCGTATTGAGAAACATTTGTAAACCAAAACGCAGTTTCCTAATAGGAATGCATTGAAAACCAATTAATCCATTCCGGAGGTCAGAAAAAAGTTAAAAAAAATAAAGTCGCTGTCACTATAGGTCAGTGCCGGTGTTTAAATGTAATTGCAGTTAAAAGAGTTAAAAGAAACAAAGTATCCTTTAGCTCCGGGGAAAGTGGCAGCTAGTTCTGTGAGCTATAGTGAAGAAAAAAAGCTGGCAATTGCATTGAAAAATCGGCACCGACATACACTTCGTATTGCAAAAAAAATTTGTAAACCGAGGCATTATTTTCAATGGATTTTCATTCGTAAACTGAAAATTACGTTAACCGAGGTACATCTGTACTTCAAAATCCAGTAGCTTCAAGACCTTATGTTATAGTAACATGGAGTGGTGTTCTTGCACCATTTTTTTCACTTTTTTTTTCTATTGGTTGATTTAGCTAGATCTCATGTAAATAGTCACTGTCTATTAAAACCTGTCATGAGAGAAATGAAGGCTCCCTTTGCTCACCTTAAATTGCAAATTGCCATGCTTCTATTACATTCCGGCTTGAATAGTTCTGAGTCACCGAGTCAGAACATGTTGCAGATTAAGGAAGTTGAGGTAAAGTTAAAAGCTCTTATCTGAATTCCAGTTCCAGATAAGTGATTCCAGAATAAAGTAAAGCTAGTCAAAGGCTGTCAACATGTGTCAGGCAACCAGCAAAATTTCAGGAAAGTTCAACAATGAATGCTTCCTCGTACAGGCTGCCATTGCTGACCTAAAACAAGCATGCACCTAAAAGTTTCTTAATCTGGCCATACATGGATTGAAACTCAGGTAGCTCTGAGGGGACAACCTATTAATTTGACTTCTGTACAAGCAGCATGTTGGAAAATTTTCACATGATCAGTGCTGCTGGCTAAGGCCAGCAGTGCTGATCAGTATATTCTGTTGGGCAAGTCTTCCTGCTGTCTGAGTACAATACCTCAGAGGGAGTGATTCAAGCATCAACATTGAATGTGTGGGTGAATCCAGTCTTTTTTTTTTTTTTTATTTTTTCCTTTCCCTGTTCAACCCGCTGGTTGAACGAAATACTCATCCATGAGTTGCCTTACAAATAACTAAAGAAACTGATGCCTGTGGGTCAACATAACGGCCAACACTGAGTGTGCCATAAATGTAGAGTGTAGTGTTTATTCACAGGTTGGCTGGAGCCGGTGTGAGTACTAAACAGTGCAACTTTAGGCTGTTTCCAAGGTATATACAGGTAAAATATATTATCTGCTTATGAGCAGGGCAAAGTTTACAGTTAGTTTTACTACCACTTTAAGCTCAGAGCTATGCTTTAAACTGTAAAAACTGGCTTACTTTAACTGTTTGCCAACCATATAACTTGGTTATGTGGCATTAGAGTGGCTCTTCTGTGCTGGATCATGTACCTAGTGTGTGATCCAGCTCTTCCAAGTTGGGTGGCGCGCATGCCCGCTGACCTGGCTGTGCTGTGATTCATTGCAGTACGAGCTGATCAGTAAGTACTGCTCAATGATTGACAGCCAGGACACGCTGATTGGTGAAGAGGAAGACAGGACAGAGCTCTGTAGTGTCAGCTGGGGTGTGCCGATTTGTTTCCCTGCAAAGCCGGGAATAGAATCTACACATCCCTTAGTAAAATCCACACAAACACTTCAGTTAACCCTTTGATTGCTCAAGATTTTAACCCCTTCCTATCCAGTGTCAGTACAGTGTCAGTGCATAATGTTAGCACTGGTCACTGTATTAGTGTCACGGGTGATGTCACCAGGCAGTTAGTGGTGGTGGCAATTCCCACGCAATGTCAGTACCCACCGTACTATCACTGTCCCGCTATAAGTTCTGATCGCTGCCATTACTAGTAAACAAATAAATCTGGTATATATACTGTCGTCTGTACACGCTATAATTTTCACACAAACCAGTATATTATAATATGTCATTTACACTTTATTTTTACCAAAGACATTTTTTTTTTTTTAAATTGGGTATGTTTTATAGCAAAATTGTTGTTTTTTTCTGTATAATAAAAAACCCAGATGTGATCAAATACCACCAAAAGAAAGCTCCTATTTGTGTGAAAAAAGGATATAAATTTATTCTGGGTACTGCTCTGCATGACTGCGCAATTGTCAAAGTAGCACAGTTCCGCATAGCCTGGTCATGAAGGGGGGTACATCTTCCGGAGGGGAAGTGGTTAAATAACTGTACTGAGTTTGTGTATCTAAACTCAAGAGAAAATAAGATAGTATTACAGCTTACCTGTCCTTTATGTGGTGGCTGCAGTTATTTTCTTTTCCCCTTTATTTTAACCTTGTAATCCTGTAATTAACACACTTCCTAACTTAAGCAGACAACCGTACTGAGCAATGTTTTGAGCCTAGGATAAGAAGTGTTTTAAGGCTACATAAAACTCTGGTAGGACAACCCTACCCTCAACATAAGTTTGTCATTTGATCAAATTTTTTTGAAGGGACATGCTGGAAAATTTGTCGACCAGCAGCAGTGTATTCTGAAACCTGAAGATGCCGCAGTCTGGATACAATCTCATAGCAAGGGGGATATACCTCATTTGTATGGATGGAGGAACCTGTTTTTTGTTCAGCCTGCTGGTTTACAAAAAAAAAGTGTAAGCCCGTCTTTAATCCTAGTTGCCTGACTGTCATTCATTATAGTTTGAATCGCTGATTAGTAATAAAGTAAGCAGCCAGTAAAATCAGATCTTCACACCCTTGGTGCTTGTTTACTGAAGTCTAAAGTTGGGTGAAGTATCAAACATGCAGTTATGTATAGAAAGGAAAAAAACCTTTTTTGCACAGAATTAGAGATTTGAGGTGAACACAAGTAAACTTCATTTCATTGTACTTTGCCTTGCTTTAAACACTGTAGAAATTGGACACAGTGACTACCAGTATTGAAGCCAGTCAGCTATCACAAGCAAATTAGGAATACAAGCCTAGATATTGTAAAGAAAGCAAAAGTACACAAATAGTTACTGGTTTCAATTTTTAAGTGAAACAAGGATGGTGGAGATGGAAGATCTATTTCTTTTTTCATCATATACAGTGGGGATCGAAAGTTTGGGCACCCCAGCTAAAATTTGTATTAATGTGCATAAAGAAGCCAAGGAAAGATGGAAAAATCTCCAAAAGGCATCAAATTACAGATTAGACATTCTTATAATATGTCAATAAAAGTTAGATTTTATTTCCATCATTTACACTTTCAAAATAACAGAAAACAAAAAAATGGCGTCTGCAAAAGTTTTGGCACCCTGCAGAGTTAATATCTTGTACTGCCCCCTTTGGCAAGTATCACAGCTTGTAAATGTTTTTTGTAGCCAGCCAAGAGTCTTTCAATTCTTGTTTGAGGTATCTTTGCCCATTCTTCCTTACAAAAGTCTTCCAGTTCATCAAGTTACCATCCAAAATTTGCTGAAATTTTATTGAATCCATTTTTCCTTCTACTCGTGAGATGTTCCCTGTGCCACTGGCTGCAACACAACCCCAAAGCATGATTGATCCAACCCCATGCTTAACAGTTGGACAGAGGTTCTTTTCATTAAATTCTGTGCCCCTTCTTCTCCAAACGTACCTTTGCTCATTCCGGCCAAAATGTTCAATTTTAACCTCATCGGTCCACAGAACTTGTTTCCAAAATGCATCAGGCTTGTCTATATGTTCATTTGCAAAGTTCAAACGATGATTTTTGTGGTGAGGACGTTGAAGAGGTTTTCTTCTGATGACTCTTCCATGAAGACCATATTTGTACAAGTATCTCTTTATAGTGGAATAGTGTACCACAACTCCAGTGTCTGCCAGATCTTTCTGGAGGGATCGTGCAGTCAAACGTGGGTTTTGAATTGTTTTTCTCACAATCCTGCGAGCTGTTCTGTCTGATATTTTTCTTGGTCTTCCAGATGTTGCTTTAACTTCCACTGTTCCTGATGACTGCCATTTCTTAATTACATTCCGAACAGAGGATATTGACATCTGAAAACGCTTTGCTATCTTCTTATAGCCTTCTCCAGCTTTGTGAGCGTCAACTATTTTCAGTTTCCGTTTTCTAGACAACTGCTTAGAAGAACCCATGGTGCTGATTGTTGGGGCAAGGTCAGATGAGTCTGGGCATTTAAAACCTTTGAGCTTGACATCACCTGGTCTTCCCAGATGATGATTGAGAACAATCCATGAAACTGGCAGGTCTCAGCATTGCAAAGGGGGCAGTGCATGCTATAAATTCTGCAGGGTGCCCAAACTTTTGCAGACGCCATTTTTTTGTTTTCTGTTATTTTGAAAGTGTAAATGATGGAAATAAAATCTAACTTTTGTTGACATATTATATTATAAGAATGTCTAATCTGTAATTTGATGCCTTTTGGAGATTTTTCCATCTTTCCTTGGCTTCTTTATGCACATTAATACAAACCTTTAGCTGGGGTGCCCAAACTTTCGATCCCTACTGTAGTGTCTTCTGTGGAGATCCATTTCTAGTTTACTTTTTGAAAGCAAATTTTAGTACTAAAGCTTTTATTTAAATTGGGATATTGTATGTTTCTGTACAATATTGTTTGTGTTTACACCTTTAATAAAAACTCCTCTCTGCTTTTCTAGATAAACAAGAAAACTGGGATGTATGGTATGAAAGCAAATTTGATGACTGTGACAAAGAAGCATGCTTATCCTTCTCAAAAGAAATTCTTTGTTCTCGAACTACAGTGGACCATAACTACTATGCTATTTGCCAGAACCTCTTATCTAGACATGCTACCTGGCGTGGCACTTCTGGGGGACTCCTTCACGACCCTCCGGCAGAGATTGCCAAAGATGACCATCTTGGGGCACTGTTGGACGAATGTGCAAACCCAAAGAAAAGATATGGCAGGTTTAAAGCTGCTAAGGAATTAAGAGAATACCTTGCACAGCTAAGTAATAATGTGAGGTAGTCTATACTGTTCTTTTTATTTTATTTTATTTTTTCTGTCTAGCAAATGAAAAGTGTAATTAGCTAGAGCACGTACCAGCTTAAATTACTGTTGTATTAGCCAGGCATTCTAAATAGAAACTTTTTAAATGCCATGATATTGAACTGAAGTGGAATGGAGAGTGGTATCCAATCCTTTGCAATCAAGCCAGGTACGTGTTTCTATCTAATTAAAACTTAAGAAACTACTATTGATTTTTCTCTCAGATTACCCGAGAGACGGATCACACAAGATCTCCAGGTGACTGGAGGAAAACGGACTTTGGTAGCTTAATTGATTATTCATGTGTCAAATAGTAGTTGACATGGCATATTACATTGGTATCACAATTTTTGTGAAGCTGATGCCTTTACTTGGAAAGTTCAAGTTAAGACTGCTGGCCTGTTTTAAAGGCTTTTTTCTTAAATCATTTCATATTTGTATGTTGAGGCACCAATATTTTTTTTTCCAGCTTTTGATTTGTTTCGGGTCTTCTCTATGTTGCGTCCTGTTTCCTATTAATTTTTTTACATATGCTGTAAATATATTCTAATTCTGCATTAAAATATAGTCATTGTTTAGTTTTCTTTAAACAATTTATTTGACTTGACCCTGTGTTCTCTCATTATTATCGTTTCCTGCCAATATTGGTGCACCCAAGTTGTTATGAATTGGATACATAAGATTTACACCAAAGAGATGACAAGCAAAACTCCTGGATGCAGATTTACAGGTTAAGGAGAGCTTTTTGGAGAAGTTAAGGCTGCCATAGCTTGAATTTTATCCAATTTCTGCGACCTGAAGATGTAGGTGGGCCAGTTGGCTTAACAAGTCACTTTTTCAATCTTGTGGAAAATTGGTGGCCTGACAGTGACTGACTGCATCTATTCTGACAGCTGTGGGTGCTGAATATTTAGGTGTATGGCTAGCTTTACAGGCCATGTTTTTGGTGTTTTTTTTCACCTTTTTATCTGTGTTAAGGCAAGACTTATTGCAGCATCTGATATTGCGTATCTTCAGCCATCTTTTGGTTGTGCATTGTAAAGTAAATTTACCAAGAATAAAGTTATTTGAAAGAAATTAGGTTTAAGGTGATTGTAGCTGTATTAGTGCACTTGTGACAAAACAATTGAGTACTGTTCATGATACATTTTTTTTTTTTTTTTGCATGAACATACAATATTCAGGACAAGCTTGCAATGTATGCAGTACTGTTTGGACCTTGAAGAAGGGGACATCCCCCCGAAAGCTTGTCCTGAAAATTATATGTTCGTGCAAATAAAAATATCATGGAGAATACTCAATTGTTTCTAAAGAAATTAGGTAAAATTGAAAGTGGCTTCAACACATGCAAAATTATCTTGTAATATGTCAAGGCGTGTTGTGTTTTTCTTTTCTTTTGTGCAGTTTGGATCTGAGACATTCTTATAACTCTCTTAAAAAGGTATTCATTTTTAAAAGCTAATTTTAAATTGTTTTAATTTTAAATAAAAACTAGCTCTTTATTGCCTATGGATAATGTTATGTAGGCTTTCTAGATTGCCAGAAAGAAAAGTTGTAATGATGCCTAGCAGCAGATGAAAGCTTTGCTTTATACATCACTAGTTTTCCACTTCGACTAGACAAGTGTTTTAACGGAAGACTATCCCTACTTAAAGTTATTGTAAGATTACAACAGTTGTAGAGTGTATGAACCTTGTGCTACCTGTGTTAGTCTTGAGATCAATCCTTTTTTTCATTCTGTCTGTGGTCAGCTCTATGCCTAGTTGACATACAATGCAGGAGGGCAGTTTCTAAATTTTGAACCCTTTGTTAGGACAGAAGGTGTCCAAATCTAGTTTACAGCTGATAATGAAGAACTGTGAAGACAATACAGACAGGGTTAATTTTTTCAAAGATTACTCCACAGGACCATCCTATAAATTACAAAGCAGGGAGAGTATGTAAGAATTTTAAGTAAAAAGGTAACCAGCAATGTTTACATCCTTCTTATTAATAGAAACATGTACCTCACATATATGTAGATAATATCCCAATTTGACTAAAGTGGAAATACACTTTAGATCCCACACTTTGTAATAAAACACTACAGTAGTATGTTATACAATGTGAAAATGTTGGTCTTGCGTGAACACTTGCTCTTCCCTTTTTAGGCTCCATTCACCTTTAGGCGTTTGAAATCGTGGGGGGAATCGCCACGATTTGAAAATGCGCATCCGCGTGGGAAGGGCCATTCATTTCAGTAGCACCTGAAAACGCAGGGCGTTGCTGGCACAATCGCGACGTGTTTTTCTGGAACCCTTTTTGGGCGTTGTGTGTCCCACGATTTTTGCTTGCAGCGCATTTCACGCTTGGAAAATGGCTCCTTGTTTTCAGTTGCCAGTGAAATGAATGGCACCTGAACACTCATTTTCACAGCGCGTTTTCAAATTGTGGGCAGAATCGCAGAGATTCCACCCATGATTTGAAATGCCTAAGTGTGAATGGAGCTTAAAGCTATGAAGGAAGATAACCAGGGGAAATCTAGTTTCTCTTGCAACTGTTTTTTTGGTTAATTTTTTATTTACACTGTGATCAAATTCTGAAGCTTTTTTTTTTTATAAAGCCCTTACATTAATCTGTTTATAAAGTGTATAAACTGGGAGTTCAGATCAAAAAAGGTTTTTTTAAATTGTTGTGCATTTGATTTTAAACAGTTTGCATCAAATCACACATGCTGATACAAAGAAGCTGCATTTGTTTTTTTTTTTTGTTTTTTTTTTTGTTTTTTTACTCATCACTCCACAAAGTACAATATTGAGCTTACAGGTCTGTGCCACAATGTTGAAAAAAAATGGTATGCAGACTTTTTATGACATTTTGTGTTAGACTTTTCTACTAGTTTCTAGTAATTTTTTCTTTAGCTTTTCTTTTCCTTTTTTTTTTTCCCCCAATAATTGATCAGCTAGCAAAAAGGGATTCATAGATTTGGATGTTCACATAGGCTTTGGCTGTGTGTATATGTTAGGCTTTCACAAAGGATTCACAAAGCTTTCAGCAAACTTTACGTAGCATTTTTTTAAAACTTTTAGGCTTCAATCACACATGTGGCTAGGGTTGTAAATCCAAACGGTTGAGCTGTGGTTTTACTGCCCCAAACCGCCTGCCTGAAACTGGACATACAGTAGCTCAGGGCTGTACACATGCCGCAGGCACTATGCTATGTGTTGCTGCCCCCTAACAAGACCAGTGCAAGCCAGGGTGTTTTGTGCAGCAGCAACATGCAATGCATGCAATTGTGGCGTGATAGTTAAGCATTTACAGGATTAAGTCGGGCGAGGAGAAGGCAACATAATTTCTCACCACTTTTCAGATGCCCTCTGAAGTGATCCAGTGTGGATTGCTCTTCAAAGAACACTGCATCTGTGATAGAGCCCTTAAAAGCAACCATGAGCTCCAGTTTGTGGATGTTGAGAATGGGTCTTAATGTAAGTGCAGCCATTAAAAAGGAAAAAAAAACTGCCTGCAAGTTTCAGTGAGCTTCAGTGCTACTTAAAACTTTATTAAAGCCTGCTATCAGCCTAAAGTGATAGTCTCACTGCTATTTAGATCTGTCAATGTGACAATTCAGCATGTTACCGGAAGAGGTGAGCTGAGGGAAACTCTTCCAATGGATTCATGTTGTAGTGGCAGCCATCTAAAAGGTGAATCCTCCTGACTTGATTTATTTTCGCTTCCTATTGCATTTCTTGGACAGGTGTGTAGGAAAATCTCCATAATGGCACACAGCAAAATCTCAAACTGAAATGAAAAAAAAATGGGCTATGCCTACAATGTTTTTTTTAAATGATTAACCCTTCTGCTTCCAGGGCCTTTGTTCCACTTTTAAATTCGAGTGGCCAGGACTTTTTCCCATTGTTTTTAAAATGAAAGTATTGAGTTGGTGCATAATGAATATTTGTAAATTTTGAATTGCGCCTTTCTGTGTGCTGAAAACTGAAGATATGCAAAACTAAATACAATTTACTCTGAAAAAAAAAAACTGAGGTTATTGTACCCCCCCCCCCCCCCCCCCCCCCCCCCCCCCCCCCCCCCCCCCCCCCCCCCCCCCCAAGCAATGGACCTATATAATAAAAAAAACAGCGCTACATATTTTTTTTTAAGCCCCGCAATAGTTGCACAGATTTTCATAAAATCACTATTTTCACTAAAAATACACAAATCATTATTGGTGTAAACAAAAACACCACAACTTGCAGAATTCCAACTAATTTGCTACAAAGGCCTCATTCACATCGGGCATACTAAAGTGTGCCCTGGTGTTCTGTGCATCCCCATGCAGGCAGTCCCATTCATGTCCGTTGGGATGTAGCTGCTGCTTCCAATCTGACATCTGTGTGTGTGTGCACGTCTCTGATCGCTGATATTGTGAGCTTAGGGAAATGCTCTTGGACCCACATGGATGTCAGCTTGGGAGCAATGGCAGTATTCGTGTAGTTGCCACATACTGTATGACCACAATGGGACTGCCTGCACAGGAATGCATGGGAATGTGATATCCTGTGCAGGTAAACATGGTCTTGCAGAGGCATATGCTGTAGTATGCCTGTGTGTGTACAAGACTTTACTATGTGGTGTTTTGTTTTTTTGTGTTTTTCTTGGGGGGTTGGTGAAATGTTGGGAGGATTAAACAGACCCAATGTTTTTCTCAAAAGAAACACACAAACTGAAGATTTCAAAATGAAAGGATAACTTCACCTTTGGGGATATGTTGCACCCGGTTTTAAGATGGAACATGTAACATGTTCCTGCTGCTGCTCCCCAATCCTCGCACTCCCTGTGGCAGCAGGCTGAGGATTTTCTCCCTGTACCTGCTGTCACTATTTGAAAAGAGTATGGCTGTGCAGGGTTCTGCCCACACAACGGCGTTCATTCACAGAGCTCTGTGAATGATTGAACTACAAGTATTGTCAGCCTTGTGGCTATCAGCTTGTAGTTCTCTA